CTATGTTTTTTTTTTTTGCGTTTTCTGGTTAATAAGTGTATTCAAAATTTGAAATTATCGACCTTAGCGCCTTGTGAGATCTCCTTGACCATTTTTTTGCGCATTAAAAGTACAATTTGGCGGCCAAAAAGTGTCCCCATTTAGCGCGCGGCCAAAACGATCATGTTACGTAGCTGTGACATAGAAAACTGTGCAGAAACTTCGTCGGAGAAAGGAGAAATGAAGAGGAGACGACGAACAGATTTCGTGGACGTAGCGCCAAATGAGGTTAGATAAAAGAATAATAGATCTACACCGGGTATTTCCATACACCACTTTCCAAAGGATGTAGCTGTATGGCCAAAATGGACGCGTTTCCATCGTAGTCATAGAGGAGATTTTATTCTTTAAAGTTGTCGGCCTTACGCTCCGTTTCGGCTTCGAAGACGGCTATCACGAACACATGCCACTGGACAAATAAGGGGAACTTAGATCGCCAGTGAATTCAGCTGAAAAGAATGCTGATTAAGGGGCCTATTCCACATCGGACACGATTATACCACATTCTTTTCGGCTGACATTACGCAAGCGAAAAATGGTGAGCTTCTCAATGTTGCTTATTTCACGCGCTTGAGAGATACTTATACTCTTTGTCTTTCCACATGATTACATTTGCGCTTTTCTGATCGTTTGATAATCCTACCAGTTATAGTTTCCATCGAATTTTACAAACAGAAATACATCATTTTTATTAAAAGTCAAGCCCTCTCCTGAGCTGAGCGGTATCCTGCTGCCTGGACAGTGCGAAACCTCTGGCGGATACTGGCATAAACACAAGCTCGAAGGGTCCTTGTACTCTGCCAACCTGGGTTTCCGAAAATCCATCCCACAAGCCATCAATTCCCCTATGACCTCAAGAAACTAAAAGTAGCAAAAATAGCAATGTCATCGTAACATCGTATAACAGCACTGCAACGCGACGAATTGTGAAACACAAATACTATTGAATTTGATAGTAGCGAATCCGAGTGCTGTGTGAAAGTCAATGCATACGAAATATTCATTTACAATACTGATGTCCGCGGTTATTTGCCAGTGAGTGAAATGGGTCACGTGGAAATGCTGCACTCAAACTAAAGAGGTCTTTCTCTATTAAAAGTCTTATTGATGAATATAAACTCACTCGTTTTTCGTTTAAACGGCACGACGACGATCGCCTCCGCCTTTACAATGTCTGAGGAAAGGAGCAACTTGCAATAAAACTGATCGATGACTTTCCGATGAGAATTATCGCGCGTGCTTCGTGATTCAGCTGGTTCTTTCGATGCTGACGTCAAAAGTAAGCTTCTGGTTTACCAAGGGAATTACTCTACAACAACGAAACCCAAGAACACTGACCATGCAAGGCGAACGTTTTCCGCACCTAGTACGAAAGAATAATTTGTTAGGGCAATAGAAAAGAATACAGCTTCCCATTCTTACCATAGAACTTAAAATTTGGTAACGGGAGTTTTTTGTTCTAATCTTGACCTAAACACCGCAAGCAAGAAATCGTCTTTGTCCCTTTTTCAGTGTTAGTCGAAATCTTTGTTTGATGCACGCGGTTCCTCTGTGAAGGGCTGAACCGTACTTGCAACTGCCATTTCTTCTTTACTACTTGAGTACGATATGTTACAACTCTTTAAGAGCTTGCTGAAGGTAGATAGACATACTTAACGAACATCATTTCTAGAGTTTTTCAAAGCTGACTGATACATACCCCCCTCTTCCCCATAATGCACCCAGGAGGGGAGGTCAATTTTAGAAAGAGAGGTTCAACATTCTCCCTACCCCTCTCCCACCGTCTTCAAAACCCTTCATGTACCCTTAAGGGAAGTGAAGTTTACAAAGGGAGGTGCATATTCTCCTTCCCCTCCCCCTTTCCCTCCTCCAAACACACATACGCATGCGCCAAACCCCTGATACACCCTTGAGTGGAAGTCAAGTTTACAGAAAGGGGTATATATGCTATCATCCCGCGCATGATTCGAGGGGGTTGAATTTGGAGCAGGGGCAAGTTTCTAAAGAAACTGTGGTGCTAGCGCTGCGTCGGTGGGGAATATAACAAGATATTTTGGTTTTCTGAACTGAATTGAAAACGCAAATTGGCCACCGTAAAGAGTTTCTGAAGATGACGTTTCGAGCGTTAGCACTCGAGGGCTGACATTCCAATTGCCAGCTTTAGAAACTCTTTATGGTGGCCAAGTTATATTGCGTAACTTCAGCTGATAAAACCAAATTAAATGGAGTTTACTTTCAAGTCACTTGCACGTTCGAGCTTGTGGCGATTTGACCGATCGCTTTGATTGGCAGGCTTCGTTTTCTTTTCCTTTCTCTTATGTTCTTGATACGTACCTCTGCCAAAGCATACTTTTGTCTAGCCCCCCTTCTCCTCCTCCCCTTCCCCCCCTCCTCCTCCCCCTCCCTCCTCCTCCTCCCCTCCTCCCCTCCCCCCCCCTACGTCCCCAGGCTCCGCTGTCCC